ATCAAAATTTATCATCAATTCCCTCCAAACCTCCCTGCAAAATTTCAGGAATTTACAACAAAAGTCATGGTAGTTATTAAGCTTCAAGAGAATGAACAAAATCATGCCCCATACACTGTCATTGGCCACACATACAGGAAAAAACTGAATTTTTTTTTGTATTTCTTGACATTTCAAGGTTCCCTAAGTCCAAAAATATAAAAACGATTTGGGGGTCATTTTTTGACTGATTGTCATACTTTCCCCTCTGTTATACATAATAGAGCTGAAAAAGAAATGAATAAAATATCTATTGCAGTGTGATAAATCTAGGTTATTCAATTTGTCTTATGATGCCAGTTTAACACAAGGTATCTCCTTGGTACTCAAACTTAATTCATTACAGAAGACTGTTAGAGTACCAAATAAATTTTTCCTATAAAGAATAATGTCAAGTACATCAATCCTTTTGACCCCCCCAAAATACACTTGAAATACATTTTAACATAAATTTAACAAGAAGTTCACAAGCCTAATATGCACAAGTCACAAAAAACCAAAAAAGTGCAAAGAAATGAAAAAGTTTACAGCAAAGTTTAGCAGAGTTGTGCACTGAGCAATGGCTATGAAAAAACTGACACATTTCCTTGTTTCAATCAGGAATACCCATATGCAATACAGAGTGGCAAAATAACTATTAATTTTATTGGGTGAAAGTTTTTGCAAATTTTTAACAGCTGTTGTTACTTAATTCAAATGTGTAATTTAGCTTAATCATAACGATTGTAAAATTGAACATATTATTGCTAATTTGAAATTGTATTCTTTGTTTAGAAGCTTATTTTAAACTTTTTACTTCACATCTTGTTTGAATAGAATAAAGTTCAAATGTCTTCAAATAAAATGCCTATTGGGCATATTATGCTTTATGAGTTTTGAAAAAGATATAATGCCATAAAAACAGTAAAATATTCATGATGGGGAAGATGCTCCTAAACTCAAACATATCAAATGTGGTTTAATCAAAAAGTCCTATTTGGGAAATTTTGAACTAAATGGTACAAAACTTATGGGGCATCAAAAAGCTATTGATGAAGAAAATTTGAGTCAAATAACAACTTTCAACAAATCTTAATGTGTCACAGACATGTATTGTTAAAATATTTTATCAAATTGGAATGGTTGCAAAACATGATAATTGGGTTCTGTACACATTAAGTGAAAAAAAAACTGAACTGAGTACAATTTTGTCTGACAAAGACAGGAAACTCTGAAGTTTCATTTTATTTTTAAATTTAGTTACCCATTTTTATCATAGAAAGTTTTTTGTATGGATAACAAAATTAAAGTTAGAATGAAAATATTTGTTATTAACCAAAAATTTGTTCTAGCATGTAGTGTTTGTTCATTTGAGTGCAGAGCAAATGATCAAGTGCTAAGTGACTTTTTTTCATTGACATGTTCTTGAATTTTTCAAGTTGAGACAGTTAAGTACCAAAGTACTACTGTGCTTTAAAATGAAGCTGGCTGAACAGCTGGTGAAAAATTTAGATTTACTTTTGTGATAACATTAAAATGTATATAATTTATACATCTGCTCTTACTTGTTAGAAAAATCCAATATTTATGTAAATGTAAAATTAGAATTTTGATTTTAATATTAATGAAAACTAATAATCATTTCACATGAAAAGTAAATTTTAGTTTCTGTTATAGATAATATTGATATTATTAAAAACAAAAAGAAAACATATACAAAAAATTTTAAAAGTGTAAAAATAATTTTTTCAATAAAAATAGAGTATACTATATTTTTATTATTTCTTCATATATAATTAAGAATTATTTGTGAAGAAATTAGGAGTGAAGACTTATTAGCAGAAAAAACTGTGCAGTCATGTATAAAATAATTTGACTTCTTATAAGTTAATGTATGTCTATTAAACTACAGATAACACTAAAGAAAAGGGCCAATTTTATGTAGGACCAACAAGAAATTTTAGATAAAGAATAAAATATAAATTAAATGTNTTAAAATGTATATAATTTATACATCTGCTCTTACTTGTTAGAAAAATCCAATATTTATGTAAATGTAAAATTAGAATTTTGATTTTAATATTAATGAAACTAATAATCATTTCACATGAAAAGTAAATTTTAGTTTCTGTTATAGATAATATTGATATTATTAAAAACAAAAAGAAAACATATACAAAAAATTTTAAAAGTGTAAAAATAATTTTTTCAATAAAAATAGAGTATACTATATTTTTATTATTTCTTCATATATAATTAAGAATTATTTGTGAAGAAATTAGGAGTGAAGACTTATTAGCAGAAAAAACTGTGCAGTCATGTATAAAATAATTTGACTTCTTATAAGTTAATGTATGTCTATTAAACTACAGATAACACTAAAGAAAAGGGCCAATTTTATGTAGGACCAACAAGAAATTTTAGATAAAGAATAAAATATAAATTAAATGTAATGAAAGGAAGAAAAAAAAATACATTGGCAAAGGTGACTTGTGGTTAAGATACTAGCAGTGAATTTGAAAAAGGTAAAAATAATCTTAAAAAATTTCATAAAGATGCCAATAAAGGTTATGGAAGATCCAATAATAGAAATAGGAAGTTATTATGTAATAAAAAAGAAACACGAAGGACAAGATCTTGATCCAGTTTATGAAATAGTTAACATTATAAAAATTGTTATAATTGTAAACATTTATTTTGTAGATCAAAAGATTGAATATTTATAAAAATTCTATTGTTTATTTAATTGTAGTTTTTAAAATTTGTGAAGTTTGATTACTTTACAAAATTTTTAATATTTCTGATTTAAATTTTAAAAATTCTATTCTACTCAATGTTACAATCAAAAATGTTATTTTGTTCTATTTCCATTTATTTCGTTTGTGGTGGTTTGAGAATGACATGAAGTATTCCAAAATTTTTAGCATTTAAGTATTTTTTTAATTTTTAAAGATCTAGATTTCTACAGTTAATTAAAAAGTTATGAACTGAAATATGGAATAACAATGAAATGGGTTGTTAAAATTTATATTATTCATTTTTATTAAATGATATTTGAAACTTTAATTGTATACAATGAAAATTTCAATATTTAATAAAATAATTGAGAATGACTATGATAGTTATCTCAAGATTTTTAACTGAAATTTCATTCATCTAACATACAGTATAACATAATCAAATTTTCTAGATCCATATGGCAAATCTCAAGTTTTCTTGGGATATTGAACAGTTCAGAAAGATGTATTTATTATATTGATTTATTCATTACTATTAATATTTTACTAAATTCAAACTAATCTAAAGAAATTAATGGCAAAATTGCATAAGAAAACAATATATATATATCATTTTTTAACATTTAAAGTTGTTAATTGACATGACCAATTGTACAGATGCCTATTTCAGTTGAATTGATAGTACCGAAATATCAAAACAATTTATCATCTACATACAACTATATACAACAAACCATATTTATTATATTAACCCTGCAATCTAGACATGGATTTTACTTTGTATCTTAAAAGACTAAAATCAGCACTATAACTTAGAAGATCCATTGCATATATCCCAACAATATTATTTTAGAAGCACAATTTCTCTAAAGAAATGAATAATCTTTTTAAAGGAAGCAAACAGGCTTCAAGAAAAGTAATGTTGGTAAGTCATAATAGGAATAATACAGTTCGGAAATACATAAATGGAAGTTTCTTCAACATGGTATTACAAAGAGAAGAAAATAAACTAGAAATGCTTACACAGGTGAAAAGTTAACAAACGAAGTACATTTATCAAGAGATAAGACAGACATCATCATTTTCGTAACAAAGAAAAACTATAAATTTGATTCCGGCAGAAGTCACTCCAGTTTGCCAACGCAATGCCAAAAAAGCCAACCACACTGAAACTAAAAATTAAAATCAAATTTATCCAAATAATCAGACTCGCATCACCGCACCGCAACATACAAGAAGCCCTCCTCCCACACCAAGTAATGGTCAATGTGTATAAAGTTTATACTATAAACTGTCTTTGAGAGGGAAACCACTCCCAACACCAGGCCCTAAGTTACAGTTTATTTATTTAGTTAGCTAAACAACTAAATAATCATTCAATCTGAAGATTACAAACACAAACTTTAGTAGAAGTTACTTTTAGTTCATTTGCTTATATGTTTACATAAGTACATACCTAAAAAGTAAATCTTACATTAATAAATCCCGATCTAAGCCAGAAATCGATTTGGTAGGAGTTAATCGATTATTTTCCCTATTTTACGTTCTCCCTCGCAAAAATCTGTATCAAAACCGAATCTGATTGACACCATTTTTGCATCGATATTGCAAAATCCCTTTAAACGATGGCTTTAAAACCATTTAATACGATAAAATAATATTAACAAACATAAATAAATTTATCCGATTTCTTTTTTTCATTTAATTTGAGTCAGACGATCGAGAACGATACTTACCATTGTGCCATTTCGTAGGCTTGAACTGAAACCATATCCGTTTGGCACTAACTAAATATGTATTAGTTTTACTTGTCGCGGCTTCGGTAATTTTATTAACAAATTACTTTTTTTAATATTAATCACACAAATAAACGACTCGGATAGAATAAAGATGGCTCACGTCGTCCAACTTACGTGCCGATAAACGCACGTATGATGTCATCGATAAAAACGTTCATTATATAATTAAGAATTATTTGTGAAGAAATTAGGAGTGAAGACTTATTAGCAGAAAAAACTGTGCAGTCATGCATAAAATAATTTGACTTCTTATAAGTTAATGTATGTCTATTAAACTACAGATAACACTAAAGAAAAGGGCCAATTTTATGTAGGACCAACAAGAAATTTTAGATAAAGAATAAAATATAAATTAAATGTAATGAAAGGAAGAAAAAAAAATACATTGGCAAAGGTGACTTGTGGTTAANAAATATTTTAGTTTCAAACGTCGATTAGTGTGGTAATTGAGTTTATTTACTAAAATAATATACGATAAGCCATCGATCAAAAATGGCGTCGAACAGCGAGGAAGAGCAAAGTTTAAGAGAATGTGAAGCGTACGTTCAGCGACATAATATTCAGCAAATTTTAAAAGATTGTATTGTTCAATTATGCGTTAGTCGACCAGAAAATCCTATATCTTTTCTAAGGGCTTATTTTCAAAGATTAGAAAAGGTGAGAATTTTTGGATTTAACGTGACAATAAGATCTTGTTCGTATCGTTAATAAATGCTATTACAAATCAAAAACAATTGTATTTTTTGTAATTATTTACGATTAAAAATCGAATTCGTTTATAAAATAGGACGTATTGTTTACATTCTCACTCGTTACAGTTACATAAAATATAAACTTGACCTAATAAAATAGTACCAATATGTTTGTGATATTGATTAATTAAATGCTTGTTTACTATATTTAATAAAATTAATATGCTTATCTATTAAATTATCAGAAATAATTCAGAAGGATAATTGCTGTACCATTTTAGTTATATTTCGATAAGTGCAATTTATTAAGCCACACATATCAAAAGAAATCCCAATTGTATGGTGCCTGGTCTCTTTAGTCATTATTATTATTATTATTATTATTTTGAACAAATGAAGTACATATGTATAGAATGTTTCTTTATTAATAAAAAAAAAGTTACTAAGAATAACACTTATTTTATAGGGTTACCATTATTGGCCCTAGATAAGGTGACTGGATGTTCCCGATTTTAGCTGTTTTTAATGTTTGATTGTAGAATCAGTCTTTGAATTCAATGATTTTATTAATGCATCAGTATAATATAATCAGTTTATAGATCAATAAATAAATTTTTTAAAATAACCTAAGTTCAATCAGTTTTAGACCCTATTTTAACTGATTTTGAAACATGTCTCTGGTTGGGTTGTAAATGATATGGTCTGCTTACCCTAGGTTGGGGTTGACAAACCTGTTAAGCGTCAGAATAAGTCATCTGGCACATAACATAGTGTATGATTTTGGCTTACCACCTGATCGTCTGTTTTTCAATCATCTTTATATTTATTTTAATTAATTAATTAATTAATTTCATTTCTTTAAATATCATTTGTAGTTAAAGCTTAAAACTTCAGCATGCAGAAACATTTGAGCTTACTATATGGCACATGGACTCAAAAAGGTTTGTCATCCTTGCTGTAAGTTGTGGTCGCATCATGCGATTTCCAGCTGTGCAGACGACTGCAACTGCAACAAGCATGCATCTTTGTGTGGCCACACATTGTTTGCTGACATTGCAGCTCAGAAACATGCAATCTTATAATAAATCAATAAAATTGCAGTAGCTTGTTTTTGACTACTTCATGAGTTTACCGACATTTAATGTTCTACTTCAGAGTATTTATGGAATTTTAGCCACTTTTATTAAAATGGCAAGCAGTTTTTTTTTCTGGAATGAATAAAAGAAAAAAAGGCAATTATTTTTATAGAGCTGGCGAGAATACACAAAAAGATAAAATTTTTGATAAAATGAAGAATTAAAATTCCACAGGTATTTGTGAGCCTGAATACACTCAATCAATCTCAGTTCTGTAAAATTATCAATCCTCTAACCATCTGCCATGATGATGAACTGTTTTCAATGTTGTCACCATATGACGTGGCACAAAAGCATTTGCTGATTGCATGCGTGTTTGCAATCAGCGCGAGTAGAACAAACTTTTTGTTTCTAGTCACTGTTGCAGTCGTGCTGATTTTCGGAGGGGGTTTACTAGTTAACAGGAACAGTCGTCACAGTTGCAGTTGCCTGTGTGGCTGGAAATCGCATGGTGTGACCACAGCTTTAGGTTTTCTCTAGTCATGTGGAAAATTTTGTCTTTCCCTCACCAACCTTTTATAGGAGTAAAAACTCTTTTTAGTGTTAGAAGAGATCAAAATAAAATAAATAATTGCTTTTTTAAACTCAATATTGTCCTTATCTCTTTTACACCAAAAAGGCAGTTTTTACTTTTATATATTTCTGTATTTATATCAACTATGCAAAATAGTTACTCATTTTATGTAATTATATTACATTAATTACATATGATTTATAATTGGATTCATAAGGATAATCAACAAGTATATTTAATGAATTCTTATATTACCAATATCAATACTGGCATAAGCTGGAACTAGACAGTAACTAGAGAGACAAAATACCTTATGCACTTAGTCTAGTTTCTTATATTACTTTGTTAAATTAATAATATAACTTTTTTAATAAAGATAACTAATGTTGGATTTATGATAGAAATGAATGAAATTGTCTAGAACAGTGTTTTTCAACCTTCTTGAATGCGTGACCCCTTTACAAGTTAAAAAATTCTGTCGAACCCCCTAGGGCCATATTAAAACTATATCAGTGATTTTAAAAACTATGTATTTAATTTTCTTTCTGTTGAGACAAATTATTGTTGATTAAAATGAAAATTTCAGAAGAATCGACAATAATTTAATACACACAAAGTACGAAACTTTCTTTAATTCACTTTTTCCGCCATCATTTTCTGGGATGGGCCATAATTCTCACTGGAATTGTAGTTTTTTTAATGTAGTGTAGGACCTATAAACACTTGTCTTTTTCTTCTACCCGCGACCCCCATGTAAGGCTTCGCGACCTCTCTGGGGGTCATGACCCACAGGTTGAAAAACACTGGTCTAGAATATGAATCTCTTGGGAGAAAAATGATATTTTAATTATATATTAAAGTCAAACGATTGTCAGGTTATAGCCCGATATAATCTGACAATTGTTTGGCTTTAATATATTTTAATTTGTATATGGGAATAAAGTGAACAAGTATAATTGATCAGTTTACGGAAATGTTTCTTTTATAATTACCTAAATATAATAGGAATGTGACTAGTCTACTTACCCATTTAATTTCAAGGAAGGAATAGTGTTAAATATTTGTATCATTTGCATAATTATGTGATTAAATAGTTTGATTTTAAAAATATTTTGTTTGTGAAATATATATTAGCTGACATGTATTTTATTAAAATGTAAGACTGACGTGAGAAAAACCTTTCCTTGTGAGATTTTTTGGTATTTTGCTATTGTTAGTGTTTGTATTACAATTCATTTGAAACTTGGATTATTTTTCAATCAGGAAAGTACACAGAACTTGATATCATTATGGTGATGATAAAAAAAACTGCCAATGTACTGGTTACCAAAAAATATTTGATCAGAAACATTTTTGACCTTTGTTTAAGACATCCTTAGCTGACAGAATAAATGGAATCTGTCTGAATTGTTTGTCATTCCAGCTGACAGAATAAAGTGAAGGTCAAAAATATTTCTGATTAAAGATTTTTAGTATCCAGAACTTTAGTAGTTTGTTTTACTATTATTATCTTTTAATAGTAACGTTTTTTTGTGTGAGAAAGGCTAGAAGTATAATGGAAGGGAAAAAATGTTTTTAAGATGTATAAAGAAAAGATGTCAGGATATGCATCAAGTAGATATCAATATCTCTTTCTTACATCTTCTTTTTCATTAATGTTTACATTTTCATTTTTTAATTGTTACATGTAAGAATTTAATATTCTTACATTACTTTTAACTTTAGAAGAATAGAACATACCAACTTTTCTGTTCTTATTATATTTGGTCATTTGTAATACATTACACACTTGCAAATCTGAACTCTTCATAATCCAATCTAAGTCTGTTTACTTAGTGATTAAATATTCCAATAAAAAATTAATAATATTTTTAATTTTACAAATATTAATTCATTAAAGTTTTAGGAAGGAACAATTTTTTAAACAACACGTAATTTTTTAAAATTACTATTTAATAAATTATGTAATGAATTGACTACAGTGATGTTTCTCAACCTTTTTCTCATTGCAGATAATTTTATTTGGACCAGTAATTATATATAACTATGAATTATGCTTATTTATTACATTTATATATGCTTATCTAGAGTTACTGTATGTAACAATGTAGAGTAACTCTAGATTACTATTTAAATGCCACCCATCATCAACTGTACCAGCATCAATACAGTCAAATATTTTTCTGTGACAGGTGAAATATTTTTGCAGACCAGCAATTGAAAAACACTGGTCTATAGTCTTTTTCTCTGGTACAGTATTTCACTTTCAACTGTCCATGCTTGTAGATGGCCTGTTAATTGGGTTAAAAACATTAGCATTCTTTAAGATTCACTTATATTTTTGTTCCAATTATTTAAAAAATATTTTTGAAAAGTTGTGTTCTGTGCATTCCAATTTGGAATATCGTTGGTGACCTGATACAGATCTTGGTTAAGATCGAAAAATGTCAATTTGACATTAAAATTTTTGTTACTGGAAGTTAAAGGTTTAGTTGATGGTGCTTAGCTTCACTTATTGTTAAAAGTGCATTGATTAATTCAGCTTTATATATAATCTCACCAGTCTGAACAATTCAGTATAATTATTAGTTCAGATTAGTGAGAATGCAATGTATTTTAAAATTTAACGGATTTTCTTGAAAAACGTTGTTTGGTATATCATAATAGAAATTCTTTCCAATAATTGCTGAGCTTGCTATAATTTATTGATAACATATTTTCTAGCTGATCACTAATTTGAAAAGCAAGATTTAACTTCTGCGTATTTATGCCTTACTAATAATGTTTTCTGCAATTAAAATTAATTTCCTGATTTCATTAAATTCTTATTCTGATTAACAAACTAGATACTTAATATTAATTGTTTGAACAGGATAAAAAATATTTTAAATCTTTAACTCAACAATAGTTGGACAGTGCCTTTTCAACATTTACAAGAGAGTATTTAGTTGAGAGTAACTGAAAATCTTCAATGTTATCAAATAATCAGATCAAATAATATAATAAAATAAATAATTATTTTTCTTTTGTATAAGGTGATATTTTTTTAAGCTAGATGTGTTTTGCATTTAGAATTTTTTCTAAATTTATTATATCACAATGTCAGTCAATAATGGCCCTTTAGTTAGTACTCTCAGAGTTGGAAAGGACCTAAACCACAAAAAAAAGAAAAAAAAATGTCAATTGATAATTACCAGAGGCTCACCCAGAGGGAGGCCTATAGGCCTTGACACCCTCCAAAGAAAAAAAAACAAATACTAAAAATTTTCCAAAAATCTATTTTTAATTAAAATTTATTTTTCATTTATATTGTGT